ACTATAGCACACAGAGAGTGATGGTGAGAGAGTAAATTCTCTCTAATTTCGTTTCGTTCGTTTATTATGGTGGTGAAATACTGTGAATGTTGACTTGATTTACATTTGTTGTTTGTTTTACCTCTTCATTTCTCCTTTTTATAGCAGAATGGTGAATATGAAAAAGGTGAGTTGTTTATTAGCTATCCATTTCCACCATAGGTGAATATGCGGATAAAGGGGCAATTACGTTGATGTTGAACTTATTTACTCACCTTCCTGGCTATGTTGAATTTATTTGTGCGCTGTATAATTTCTCCTTATGGTAGGTATTTTTTACTTTATCGTGACAAAATGGCAGTAGCGTGGTGTATCAATTATTTTGTACATGCAAGATGTTCGTTTTTTTGTTGGTTTATATATGTTCGTCGTCCTTAACGTTTATATTTGACCTTCAAACATGACCTAAATTGCTATAATTTTGTATTAAAGAATAAACAAATTAAATACTTAATTACATTAATAATTAGAAATGTGATGTTAGATTTTTTGATTAATTTGCAGAGTAAATTAAAGGTGGACAATATGTGTAGTTTGCAGAAATTATTGGGCAAATTTTTGAAGTTTTTAAAATAAAATCTTCTGAAAATTGGAGGGAAATCAAAATAAAATTTTAATGTTTATCAAAATTGGAGGAATTATGGGTTGTGGATTTAAATCAGTGGATTTAAAATGTTTTAATTAAAAGTTAGTTTGTTCTGTTGAAATTAAGACATAACTATTCAGATTTTGAAATATATTCCTACATCTGAATTTATTTATTTTGAAGGTCCAGTCATCATATGTATAAAAGTTCTTCGTAAGAACGTATTAATATTGCCCCTATGTAATCGTAACGCTCAATTTTCTTCATCGTAGAAATCCGAGTAGTCAGATTATCAATAAACTTCATTAACCAAAAAATATAAGTAGATAAATATAGCGCTGTAATTCATTTTAAAATTGGACTATCATGCGGTTTTTTGTTTTAATTAGTGTAAATGGATCTGAGCTAGATGAAGGAACTCAAAATAATATATACCTAAATTAAAGGAATACGTATTATAATTCATGTTATAGCTTACAAATGGGTTAGGCTTTTTAATTATTTTTTATAAGTATCTAACATCTATCCCCAAATCCTCTGCAAATTTTTGTAGCCTTAGACAATATGGGCTACGCATAGAAAAAATTATATATGTATATTATTTATTACAATATATGTATATTTATTATTACAAAGATAAGATTGGGGACAATATTTCGTGGCGTTACAAATTCTTGGGCGCACATAAACAAAAATTGTAAAAAATGTAGTAGCCCAATAGAGCGATATCCCCATTATTCGATATTTTTTTTTTCAACTGAAAATTTATATTTTAGGTTATCATGTGGTTTCAAATCTTCCCACTAAAAACATATTAATATCGATTCACTTTTGGTTTAGTTTCCATATAACTTATTTTCGGCATTTTTATGGTTTCAATCGCAAAGTAATTGTACATTGCGGCGTCTTGGAGGCTGACATACATATATGCAATAAATCATTAATTTAGGTCAAAGTTTAGACATAGCCCCCGTATACAAGTTCAGCCCTATTTTCGGAATTTTGAAGGTTTTAGCTGCATTCTCTACTTGAAGTGTATGCAATTTTGCATTTCGGGTTTTTATAGAGCAAATTGATTTTTTAAATCAGGATAGAGTTTGTTACAGCTATTAGTAATTTGGTATTTTGGGTTCTCTCTTCCTATTAAAAATTATCAATATAACACTGTTTCAAGGATATTGGAGGGCAAAGCACATACTCCGTCCGCTTTATAAGATATTTATACATTTTTAAAATATTGACCCTTTGTGGGTGTGTTACCTGGTGGAGTGAACCAATAATCCCACCATGGAACACAATATAATTTTATTAGAAATAATCGGTTATCTAAAGTTTGAATCAAAAATCGATATTATAAATGTATTTTTCAGCTAAATTTTAACCACTTGTAGGGAAGGTACTAAAAGGAATGCTCTGATATTCTCCATCTTGGAAGTTGATTTAGGTTTGGAAGATATATCACAATGTTTAAAGTTTGTATTAAATCGGCATCTCATTTCTAGAGTTATCGTGCGCAACATTCGGCCAGACAGGAATTTGCTAACCGTACAAACAAAAAATTGATTTTGTTTATAAAAATGTCAAATTTTCTGGTAGCTTTGTAAAAACATGGACCAGATCATTTTTTCATAGATATTTCACTCCCTCTCCAAGAACCAAATGTGCAAGATTACAGTTCGTTCTGTTAGAAAATTCGCCTAGGACCATCATAATATACGGTGGCTATACCAAGACGTGGGCTGATATTAATAATTTGTGGGTACCCAAATTTCAAACTAGACCAAAATCGGAGGAAAAATGTTTTAGAATTACTTTCGCCGTAGAATTATTTTTCTGTCTCAATTAAAGTTTGTTACATTACTATGTGGTGTTAATAACCATAAATCTCAGTAGTCGGATGGGGCCGACCATACGATACCCTACACAACTTCCAGCGGATTTTTATTCCAAGCCTGGATAATATTTTTTGCCCGATTGGATGTCAATATTCCTTACACTGACATATTTTCCGAATATTACTAATATTAGGTACAGCCCTTTTAATTAATTCTCCAGATTCCTTTCATCGTATAGATCGACTCAAAAAAAAAAGTTGTCGGTCCATTTCTTCCCAAAATTATTGTCTGATTCTAACCGAATTATAGGCGTTGTCCTTGACCATAACTGGAACTTCATGGAAAATTTCAAAGCAATCAGCGCTATATTTCCGCCCTCTAGTGTGGTAATGGGTTACTAAAATATGTAACTTCCACATCCGAGTACATACAACAATATAATAGGTATCAATTTGAAGGTCAACCACTCCTATTGGATATACTATCAAATTTTCGGGTCTATGTCCTTCCGGGATAAACATATACGCCATAGGATACAAATTTTGTAATGTTTCACACAAATGTTAGGGTTCATTTTATCCGCTAAATATTGACCTATCTTTATAAAATGTATTTTGAGAATTTCATTCTCTAAATATTAACCGATTTTTATCGTGTTTACAAAATATAATGGACAGACGGACGGACACACGTGTCTACATCGACTCAGCTAGTCGGTATACTTAAATGTGGGTCTAGGACCAATAGTTCGCGGCGTTACAAACTCTTAGAGCCAGACAAAACTGTAATAGGTATGTACTATTTCATAAGGAAAAATGAAATTTTTTATCGAATATTCATATTTATTTATCCTTCATTTACCAAAAAAGAATCATTTACCAAAAAAGAAACGTGCAGAGAAGCTAACCCAAACATAAATTTATTGATTATGTTAGGAAACATATACTAGAAAAAATTTGCTTAAAAATACCGTACAAGGCATATGAATTAATTATTCAAGTGGACGATCTGTATATGGTTATTTATAGGGGTGATAATCTCGCTATAGCTTTCCTTCAACTTCCGGGTTTGAAAATTTTCATTTTTTTCTAATCTCTTAGCTGTAATTATTTCTTTTAACAGAAAAAACACAATTTTCCTACAACTGTTTTGTTAATATTTCAACATTGACAAATCAGCACTTTGAAAGGTTCAATTGTTATTAAATATTAATCAGCTACGTCTTAAAGTAGTACCATATTAATTGTGATTACGTATAAGATAATATTTCAATTACTTTTAGTATTATTAAATAATTTCTATAAACTTAATTGTCACATCAGTAAAATTTAAGTTTTATTAATGACGAAAAACACCATACACATAGTTAGAAATTCTAAATAACTAGAAAAACACCCCAATCGATGTTGTTGTATATGGCTTTGTATTAAACTAAGTGACATGACTGTTAGGAGTCCATGAGAGTAAATACATTTATTTGATTGTTGGGTAATTTCAGAGGAAAAGAGGGGGGTCAAAATGTGTTTTTATAGGAGAATAATGAATGTCAATTGAAAACAATTATGACCAATAAATGACCACCCCAAAAGCGACACAATACAAACACAAAAGAAAAACAAACGCGAAGAGTAAACAATATGAATGCTTTTATGGAGAGAGCAAAGCAAATTGGGCTCCAATAAAGAAACCATTAACTAACTGTACACAATAACAACACATAATGCTGGGATATGTCACTACTATTGTTATTCTCCCACAAATCTCCATTTGTTAGAAGAGTACAACTCTATTTTGGAGAGTAATTAAAAAGGGGAGTTGCTATGGTTGAATGAATAAAGCAAGAAAGAGAGTTAGCTATTATTGTGTGGAAATATTCACGGAGAGAGTGGCGACAATTGTGAGTGGGTTGAGATGCTCGTGTTTGTATTGTTTGTTTATGTGAAGAAAAAACTCTGGGAGCCACTTAAAAAATTACTGGTTTTTCTTCTACCATTAACAAATCCCCAATATCACAAACGCGCGCGCACACAAACACACACATGCATATTGTACACATAAAGCACACTGAATTGTTAAAGCACCTGGTTAGGCTTTAGTATCGGTCGAACAGCATTTAAGCTAAGACGTGAAATCTGTGCCGTATGCTTATTATGATTACTATGCGACGTATAATTTGATGATAAACAAAAAATTCAAGAAAACAGGCTAAATCGACAATTAGTATAAAGATAAACAGAATAAAACAACAATTAATTAGTTTTTTTATACTTTCAATGGCGACGGAAAATTAATGCCAAAAAATAAATAAAAATATTGCGAAGGGCTATGCATTATAAAATTTCAAAAGAAATCCAAATAAATTGAAATAACATATTAAAAGTGTCAAGTGGAAAATAGTATTTAAAAGAAGGTTCAAAATAGTTAAACAAGACAATTCCTTCAAAGTGGAAAAATTCTTTAAAATAGGGATCAAAACAATTTATTCGAATAAAGCAATAAATTCATAGTGCAATAATTTCCATATTTAACAAATGACAACAATGCCTCCGGAAATGTCTACCACGGCTACAAATCCTTCAAGTGTTGATTTGTCTACCACGCGGGTTAACAACGACCCTTTGGCAACGGCCTTGCATGCATCGCGATCACGTTTTATGATAACGGATATATTATCAGCACAACAAACAACGGATTCAGCCACACCACAAAATCCCCAACCTCCATATTCACATCCTCACCAGCAGCAACAACAACACCATGCCGCATTACAACATTACATAGCTCAACAGCAGCATTTAATACAACAACGTCATCAACGTCTTCAGAATCAACAGCATCATCATCCTCAACAACACAGTAGGTCTCCAAATTCTTCGCCGCCACCACCACCACCTTCTTCACATAACTCCTCAACGTCTTCATTACATCAACATTTACCCCCACCAATGGCAGCAGCGTCTCCGTCATCGTCTTCTGGTCCAACAACAACTACATTTCCACCTTATCATCCTCAACATCATCATCCATCCTTAGGCCACTTACCTCAATCGGCGGCATTAATGGGATTTTCCGTTGCCGGCGGACGTGAAATGTTTGGTGGTGCTGCTGCTGCCGCTGGAGCTCATTATGCCGCCATACATCGTCACAATGAACGCGAGCGCTTAAGAGAGTTAGATGATTTGGCATATCGAACAGCTACGCAAAATTCACAAAATCTAGATCCAGATGATCGTTCCCGTTCGCCGCAACCTCTGTATTTGCGGGGTGATAATCGGGATATGGGATTTGGCAGTAGTGCGGGAAATGGTGGGGGTATTGCTACTGCTGGTGGAGGAGGTGACAGCAGTATAAGTGGCGACCAGGCCAGCACTATTGATGATAGTGACAGTGATTGTGGTGAGTGTAGAGTTAGAAATTTTTAAAACATTAAATCTCCTAAAAAGTTGCCAGTGTCGGAAAAAAAGGAAAAATAGTTTTCAAAATAATGACAACTTTAAGGGAAATCACTCAACGTAGACTACCGAATGATAACCAACAATATCAAATTACCGTCAATTATATAGGAAAAACAGTTTGAAAGTTTCAAATCCTACTAAATATTAAATATTTAGTGTTATTAAATAATTCATATAAACTTAAATGACAAAAAAAAAAAACATGCACGTAGTTAGAAATTCTAACAAAGAAACTCTGCACAAAGTTAGAAATACAAACAAATTGAAAAACATCCCAAACGATGTTGTTGTATATGGATTTGTATTAAAGTAAATGTCCTGACTGTTAGGAGAGTAAATACATTTATTTGATTTTTGTGTAATTTGACAAAAAACCTCAAAGTAATGACAATATGGGGAAATCCCTAAACGTGGACTGATTATTGGTAAGGACATTTACTACCGAATGATAACCAACAATATCAAATTACATTATAGAAATACATATAATTCGTTCAAAAAACCGGTCAACGTTCTTTAAAATCCACCAAAAAATACTAGGTGCCGTTATTTGGAAACTATGCCTAAAAATGTGCCCATATGCTTACGTAGTCATATATTATTTAGTAACCCATTACCATACTAGAAGGCGGAAATATAGCGCTGATCGCTTTGAAATTTTCCATGAGGATCCAGGTATGGTCAAGGACAATGCCTATAATTTTCGGTGATGAACCGATAATAATATTGGGATAAAGAGAACCGAACACTTAATTTTTGGGGGGTTTTTCGAGTAGATCTTAGGCCATATTTGGAAGCCGAACATCACAACACTACCTACGGCGAAGGCAATCTGGACAAGTAATTAGAAGGGCTGTACTGAACGTTAGTAATATTTGTTGACCTCTAGTCGGTCAAGAGCCTGCAAATATTGCGAAATATTGACCAAACTCAGAATATAGAACCACAGATAGTTATATTTTCGTACAAGTTGTGTAGGGTATCATATGGTCGGACCCGTCCGACTATACTGCTCCGCTCACGGGTTGCATTATGTTATAGTTCGTTCATACTCTGAAAAATAATGTTCCAAATTACAGGCACTAAGGATTGAAAACCTTAGTGCCTGTAATTTGAAAAAATGTTAAAACATTAACCTATCTTGAATTTTTATACCCTCCACCATAGTATGGAGGGTATATTAATTTTGTTATTCCGTTTGTAACTCATCGAAATATTCATTTCCGACCCTATAGAGTATATATATTCTTGATCAGGGTAAAATTCTAAGACGATCTAGCCATGTCCGTCCGTCTGTCCGTCTGTTGTAATCACGCTATCTTCTGAAGGAATTGATTTAGGGTGCTGAAATTTTGCATAGAGTTGTCTTTTGTCTGCAGGCAGGTCAACTTCGAAGATGGGATATATCGGTCCACGTTTAGGCATAGCTCCCATATAAGGGTACCCGCCAAATTTCGGTATTTTGGGGTTCTTGAGCGCGTTTTTCAGACGAATTCGCTGAAATTTGGTACATTGGGTTCTTATTGGGTACTAAATGTCTCCACAAAAAATTATAAGTATTGGTCCACTTTTTCTGGTAGCCCACATATAACGATAGCACCTAATTTTCAGTATTTTGGGGGATTTGGTCGTATTTTTCCACCGAATTGGCTGTAATTTTGTATTTTGAGTTCCTAATAGGTACCAAATCTCTGCACAAAAAATTTTGAATATAGGTCCATTTTTTCGAATTGGCCGTAATTTAGTATTTGGATTTATTAATAGCAAAAAAATCTCTCAAAAAAAAAAAAAAAAAAAAATATGAATATAGGTCGATTTTTTCGGATAGCCCCCATATAAAGGTACCCCCAATATTCGGTATTTTGGGGTTCTTGAGCGCGTTTTTCAACCGAATTTGCTGCAATTTGATATTTTGTAGTCGTATATGGTAACAAATCTCTCCACCAAAAATTATAATTATTCGCCCCCTTTTTAGGGTGGGGACTACCCCCCCTTTTTATATTATAATAGTTATCTGATTTGTTCCGCGTTTTGAGTTTGGTTCTAAGACTCTGTTGTAATCATTTCACCTGCGGAGGATAGCGAGATAAAAAATTAGAACATACGGTTCGATAATGAACTATAGCCGCATTTAAACCTAGTCCCTGTGTGGAGGTTTGAATTATCAATTAAAAATATCTGAAATTTGTATTATGGTTTACATAATCCGTTTTTAGACATGTCGGTATAGGTGCAATTTTTGGTATGTTCCCTATATTTTCATTTCTAGTACCTGCCAGTATATCTATGGTGGAGGGTATCCAAAGTTCGGCCCGGCCGAAATAAGTTTGATGTTTATATTATAAATATTTATTGTATTATTTATTATTATATTATTTATTCAAAAGGAATCCGATATACCAAATTATAGCCACTTCATTTAAAAACTTAATAATACCGACAAAAGGGGCGGAACCATTCCATGGGGTCTGTGTCAAAACATGGACTCACATCGAAATTTGTCTAAAAATATGTTTTTTGAGTTCTCAAAGAACACGGTTTCCTAAATTACAAAAACTGCAGTGACTAAAATCTTTAAAAAAGCGACACTTCTATATGAAGTGGGAAAATGCAGCTAAAATATAAATAATATCGAAAACTTAATAGACGTCAAAGTTAAACCGACGTATAATTTTATTCTGATCAATAATAATATATTAGAATACTTTGTGGGGTCTCCCACGAATATTTTAAAGATATTTTAACAAATCTGAATCGATTTGCTCAAGTTTTAATAGAATTTGAGCAAATCGGTTCGTATAATAGCTTACGAAATACATGGACAGTCCGACGAATCGTGGTATATAAATCGACTCGTAAAGTTATTATCTGTATATCATCAAAAGTAACTATGGGTCCATCTCGTTCCCTTTTGCATATGTTACAAGAGATCCCGATATTTGAAACTTTTCGATTCGATCGATCCTAATGACCCTTGTACTTGTTTTAAGTGTTATCCATATTTTCCATGCATAAGCATGGGAAAAAATTAATAACGATGGAATCAATTTCACGATTTGTTACAATCTCTATAGTACTTATATTGATGCCCTTCCTTAAGCATTTAATTTTTTCTTGTGATTTTCTATGTGATCTTCCAACAAAATTCTCCCCACTTCAAATGACGTTCAAACCATTTAAGATTCATTTAGGTGTGGATTCAATTGAAGGGATTGTAAACAATTCAGAAACCATTTGACATCAAATACACAAAATGTTTGATGAGACCTGTCAAAACTTTTCATTTCGTCAAATTCCCCACCCCCTACCGAACAGCAGTGAAGTGTAATTTAATATTAAATCGAGATCGGAAAGAAATACCAAAGAAAAATTGACGATCATAACAAAATTGAAATGTAACTGATATTTTGTTTCGATTTCAATGGAAATTGAGGCATTGCAGCGATTATTACAACAAATATACGATATGTATGTATGAATGACTGACTGACTGAGTGCTACAATAGTTCGATGGTTGAATGAGTACTCAAACAGGCAGACAGACAGTCAGTCTGTCGTTGACTTCTCTTTTTAGTTAAAAATAAAGAAGAAGTCGAAGAAAAGTGAAAAATTCAATTCAATTAAAAGTAAACAATCTCCTAACAAGGTGATATTGTTGTTGTTGCCGCCGTTGCTAAGCTGTGTTACATAGCAGCCAGCAGTCTTCAGTCAGTCATCCATTCCGACCATTTGCTTGATATTAACTTTTGGCCGTTTTTCGTTACTTTTTTTCTTAACATTTCAGTTTGATCGACATTTGTGACATTTTCTTAGAGTTTGTTACGTTTTTTAATCGTTTAAGCGGCTTAAAGAAACCGAAAAAATCAACAACGTTTACACAGTCTTCATGGTAAGCGGCCAGCCGCATATGTTGTCCTCACCCCATCTGACAAAAAGGCTGATAGACAGACAGACACTCATACGCACACAATTATGGGCCAACTTCAAATCGTATTCTTGAATGAAACCCACATTGGCAGAGGAGAATAATTTTTTATTTTTGAAATCTATACGCAATATGAAGTCAAAATGAATTGAAAAAAAAGGAGGAAAAGAGGAGATTGTTTGAAAAGTCAGTTGCCCGTCATCGAGATGCATTTGTAAATAAACAACAACTTGAGTAATTGTTCAATAGTTTGGCATAAAACTTCCAAATATAGAACATTTTCTGGTTGAACCAGTAAGGAAAGTAGTAAAGTTGGACTAGGCCGACTATATGATACCCTTTACCACTTTGGGTATATTCCTAACAGACTCCGATTTTTTCTAAAGAGAACATTGACATGAAACCGTTGTTCCATTTATCTAAAATCAAACGAAAATACAAATGGGAGCTATATCTATAAACGTTGGTTCTTGATTTTATATAAAGTGCACAAAGGAAAATATAAATTGAAGCTATATCGAAATCTGAACCGATTTTCACGACATTTAACACATATCATTCTAGACGCAGTTCAGTTAAAATTTTACGAAGCTTAGCAGACATCATACTAGACATATTTCAGTACGCGCAAATCGAAAGATTATCGGGACTTTGGCGCACCATTGACATAAAATCGGACGAAACTATATATGGGAGCTATATCTAAATATGAACCGATTTTCATGAAACTTAACACACATCATTCTGCACTTAATTCAGTACGCTATGCTAAATTTTGTGCAAATCGAAAGATCTATAGGGACTTTGGTGCACCATTTACATAAAATCGGACGTAAGTATATATAGGATTTCAAGAAAAATTGAAACACGAAATATATATGGGAGCTATAACTAAATCAGAACCGATTCTCACGAAACTTAGCACACATAATTTAGGATCTAATTCAGAACCTATGCCAAATTTCGTATAAACCATTTACCTTTAATCGGACGAAAATATTTATGGGAGCTATATTTAAATCTGACCCGATTTTCTTCGAAATGTACCAAAGTCCCTATATATATTTCGATTTGCCCGAAATTTGACACAGCGTACGAAATTAAGCCTAGAGTGATGTATGCTAATTTTCGTGAAAATCGGTTGAGAGTTAGATATAGCTCCCATTTATATTTTCCTTCGATTTTATGTAAAATCTGCACTAAAGATGTAAAATGTAAGTGTAAAGTGTGCACTAATTCAATTTCATGTCAATGTTCTTTCGAAAAGGCGAAGTCTGTTAGGAGACATATGTAGAATATACCCAAAGTGGTGAAGGGTATCATATAGTCGGCCCAGTCGGACTTTACTATTTTCCTTACTGGTTTTTCTTCTTCTTGTACCGCAGTTACTCTTCTCTTACGCGATCTTTTCGATTAAGTGTTTACTACTTCCTTACAACCTTTAGGAGCTGACTGGGGTTGCTGTGATCATTTTCCATCTCTTGTACCGTAGTTACCCTTAGTCATCACTTTCGTAGAGGCGTAGACAGGTGTACACGATCTTTTCGATTAAATGTTTACTACTTCCTCGCAAACTTCAGGTGCTGAATTGTCGTTGTCGCTGATTTTGTTAAGGTTTTGTGTGACATATCTCTGGCAATAGCAAATTGCCCTCCGATGTGACTTCCTCTACAGTGGCGTTTTGGGCCTATCTCTTTTTGGTGCTAGGTGTCGGCAGCAGATCACCACCCTTACTCACCACTTTAGTATAAACCTTGACTGGGGTAGCCAAAATACACATGTGGTTACGTGTCCCGTGTCACTCTGGGCGTAACATTTCGGAGGCGAAATTCGGCAGTGGGTAATTAAAATCTCTCTCTCTCTCTCTCTGAAACAGTTTACCTTTTTCAAAGGTCGGTACCCTTTTCTTCCCCACCTTG